GTCTTGAAATCGAACCCGGGACCGTCCGAACTACAGAGGGACATTTCAACCAATTGAGTTACCTGATTGCAAACGCCCATTCCACTTTCGAAACCTGTGCTAAGATTTGCGCTAGGTCAATATGAGTAGTAAAGTAGCAGCCTTACTCAAGTTCGGGGTATTATTTTTATAAAGGTATCACACAAAAAATTTGTGATAAATTAGTGCTGAAATTAATTGTGTAAATAATTAATTATTCATGAAAAACTATAATCTTACCATCTATTATTAAATTTATATTTTGAATTGTCCATATCTAACAACTCAAGTGTGACTTAATACAAAACACGTTTATATGACATGTAGACAGAATTTGGCTATATACATGTGGCATTATCCTTAATTGTAATTACTGTATATCCTTTGTGACATTTGAGATAAGTAAGACTCATGTGTGAAGTTTTTATATCCCTAAGTACGTACTCTCTGTAAACTTACTTTCATAACTCATTACTATTGTCCATCAAATTACGCAACATTACGCAACAGGATTAGTGTAATAGCCTTTACCTTGTGGACACTGACCACGGGTAATTGATCTAACAATTAGCGACACCTGTCACTTAAACCTTAGGTACCTTTATTGTACGCACATGTATTTAACTGTAATATGTTGTATTGTAAATCAGTTAGGTTCTAGACTCTGTACGGAACACATCGGGTTTATTTTGGACACTCCAGAATATCCCGCCGTCAAGTCAAAAGTTATCTCTTATTAAATTTCAAACTTAAACTTTAATCAACTCTTACGTCATCATTTCAACAAGACAAAACGTGCAGAAAAACCTTATGTTAATGGCATGCATGGGCTATTTGATTCAGACACATGTGTATATTAGTGTGGAGTCTGGTCGGAAAGTTTATAAAAGCATGTACAACACGCAATAATCTAGTCTTGGGGTCATAGAGATGACTCAGATGGAAAAAAGACAACTGAGATGACACCTTTTTGTTTTCTTTATCTCGAAAAAGAATATACGTTGAACATAATTATGGAGACAAAATGTAAATAAATGTATATTATGGCAAGTATATAGTACAAGTGAGTTTTAATTGTATACATGTAATTATGTACTGTATGACTATATATTTTTATCATTCTTTGATACTGACTACATGTGTTTGAAATGCCACCTGGTATTTTTTATATGTAACAAACACAATCACAAACACACATTCTCAGACATGTGTTTTATAATCCTAACACTGAAGTTAACCAGGAATCTGTTACCAGTACGAATTCCATGACTTCTTAGCAACACACGAACGTACACCAACAAGGCTCAGCTGTTTCACCGACAGACATGCAATTGGTCTACATGTCATTCGAATGACACAAACGCGTGTATGTGTTACTGTGTAACACGAATGAATCACAAACACACGTGTGCATGTCAAAATAAATCGGATAACATGTATACACGTCCATGAGTCATATAACTTGCATGGCATGGCATGGCATGCCTACACATGTGCGGATGTCGAATTACTCGAATGATACAATAACACACGAACATATGTCGAATCATGCAACTGACACACTTACACACGCGCATATAATTGTATCATATCATTCGAATGACACACATATACACATGAGTATGTCAAACACTCGAATGACACAAATATAACGTGCGTTTTTAAAATCACTCTAGTGATGACACCCACACACGTGCGTATGTCAAATTACTAGCATGAAACACAGATACACATGTGTCAAATCACTCGAATGACACACCCGCACACATGCGAATGACACACCTGCACACATGCGAATAATACACCCGCACACATTGGAATGTAAAAAAGTCCATTGAATAACACACCAACACATGAGTACGTCAAATCATTAAAATGACATACATACTCACGTGCGAATGTCAAATCACTCGAATGACGTACGTACACTCGTATGTTAAATCATTAAATGATACCTGCGGACTTGCTGATGATCGTTGTATAATATTACACCCAGAGATACGTCTCTCACTCCTAAGTGACCACACACACACATTCTCCTTCTCACTTTACTTGGCCTGTTTAACATATAATGAAGGCCCAAGTTTTACGAGCATTCCTTAAATTAAGACGACTCGTTAACTTGTACGTTTCTCGTTACTAGTAATAGATAACTATGGCAGTAAAGGTAAACGTCCTGAAATTAAGATTTTCTTCAACTCTCAACTCCAATATTGCTGTCCTATGGAAAATCTTAAGTTAATGAATTTCCGTCTGTTAGGGAATGTTCCAACACTTTGTGGAGCTGGTGTCCGTTAAATGAAGTGCACGTTTCGGATTTGAAATGCTTGATAAAACTGGTTTGCTTCTTTTTATAGCACATACAATGTTTTTGACATTTATGGAGGAAACAACAAGTCGCCAATAAAACATAGAAATCAACACGTGAAATAAAAGCTTAGAGATTTGGTTATGAAGTGCACTGCGTTACTTACAGCATTATTTTTAAAATGAGACAAAATTATAGGATAAACTTTATAAACAGCGTGCTGTCATTTAAACTTAAATGATTGCCTCCTTCGTGTCTTAATCTTGTTTTTGAACGTGCAACGAAATGACCGCCACCGTGTAATATATTTATATATCAAATTACTTCTTCTAATATATGAAAATATTTTTGACTTGAACATTCTTGGATACTGGATTACGTTGAAAGCCCACCCGTATATCAAATAAACAAGTACATGTTAACACAATTTCAAACATTCTCACATGTCATTTTAACCACAACATCTGAACCCGATACAAGTCACATGTACCATAGTTAGATCCCCTCCAGCAAACGTATGGATATCAACAGCCATACACGTGTCACTGTTGTAACATATCACTCTCGTTCACAACAATTCATCTTTATCATATATGTATATATGTCGCTCACAATGACTAACAATGTTAAAATATCTCTATGCTTACATTGATTTTCTTCGTTAACATATATCTCTTGCTCATAATAACTAATCCAATTAACATATCACTCTCGCTAACAATAACCAACCTCGTTAAAAAGTCTCTCTCGCTAACAATAACCAACCTCGTTAACAAGACTATCTCGCTAACAATAGCTAACCTCGTTAACAAATCTCTCGCTAACATTAACTAACCTAGTAATAATATTTCTCTTGCTTACAATAACTAACCTTGTTAACAAGACTCTCTCGCTAACAATGGCTAACCTCGTTAACAAGTCTCTCGCTAACATTAACTAACCTAGTAATAATATCTCTCTTGCTTACNTCTAACAATAAGTAACCTCGTTAACAAGACTCTCTCGCTAACAATAGCTAACCTCGTTAACAAATATCTCGCTAACATTAACTAACCTAGTAATAATATCTCTCTTGCTTACAATAAATAACCTCGTTAACAAGACTCCCTCGCTAACAATAGCTAACCTCGTTAACAAGTCTCTCGCTAATATTAACTAACCTAGTAATAATATCTCTCTTGCTTACAATAGTTAACAATGTTCATATATCTGTCATTCACCATGACTAACCTTGTTGAAATATCCCTTCCGCTCACAATGAATAACCTCGTTAACATATCTCTCTCGCTCACGTTTACTTACTTCGTTGACATATTTCTCTTGTTCACAATAATTAACATTGTTAATATATCACTGTGACTCACAATAACTAACCTCGTTAACAAGTCTCTCTCGCTAACATTAACTAACCTAGTAAACAAAGATATCTCTTGCTCACAATAATTAACATTGTTAGAATATCTCTGTGACTCACAATAACTATAATCTCGTGAACAAGTCTCTCTCGCTAACGTTAACTAACCTATTTAACATATCTCTCTTGCTTACAATAGTTAACAAGTCTCTCTCGCTAGCATTAACTAACCTAGTAAACATATCTCTGTCACTCACAATAAGGAACCATGTTATAAAGTCGCTCTCGCTAACAGCAACTAATTTCCTCATAAACAAATATCTCGCTAGCAGGAAATAACCTCGTTAACATATATCTCTTGCTTACAATAACTTGAACAAAAACCTCCCGCTCACAGACTTACGACATGTTACGGACATAATATCTGCCTTTTTTGTAGTGCCCGTAAACTGTTTTCTTGCATTGGTAGGGCATTGAATATCATACAAATATGAACAGTTATAAAAAAACTAAAAATAACTCTAACAGCAGCACAATAGGGATGTCAAAGTAAGGTATGTATGCTATGGACACATAAATAATTCAGTGTTAGTTAGCATGAAGCTATTTTTTAGCTTTCATAAATCCGTGTCATTCCGACGACCTTCACAAGTACAAAATGCGTCTTTTGGAGGCGATATCCTATTACTGGATGACATCGTATGTTTTCATACCATACCGTCACATTCTTATCTCTCTCGTGTTGTGATCATTGCTGCTGATTCATAGTTTTGTTTCCGTTTTTCTCTCTCTCAGGAAACGTAAGGTTTGCTATAGCAGCTATTGTCAGTTAAACATATACATGTGCTTTTAAACACTCCATCAATGTAACATTAGTCAACATTTTCGAATTATGATTACCTGGGCACGTATTCACGAAACCGTTCTCATGCTCAAACTCAGATTCTCTGCTCAAGCCCAAATGTCTTGTTCCGGCGATAACATTGTTAAAAATGTACAATTTCTCAATGATTTGGAAGAATTTTGGTGAGACTAAAAACCGAATCCAGTTTTCAATATTTACATTTGACATTTTGACGATTCAAGCGAATTACAAAAATACTGGTTTGAACACAGTATCCATGCTTGAGCATGAAAATGGTTTCATGAATACGGGTCCAGTTCTTTACCACTGCACGTTTAGTAATTGCATATGAATGACGGTCATTTAATGGCGAGTAAATTGGTGAATGCTAAAAAGACATTTAAGACATAAAGGCAGCAATCATAAAAAATGTTCACATAGCAAATTGGCACACTTCATAGACAATTAAAAAAACATTTCACATTATTTTTATGACAAATTGTTAACTTGTACTTATTTTAATATTTCCAAAAGATTTTCATACAATAGATAATACGAAATAAGCACAACTTTATCAAAGCATTTCAAATCCTCATCACAAACAGTAATACGCTAGCCAACACAGGTGTGTAAGTTGCAATACAACAATATGCTCACTTACGTCATCGTGCAGGTTACAAAAGTGTAAGGAGCTTGCACGTGCCCTGAATCATGTGACTATATTTGGCAGACAGGTGTTCTTACGACCACTATAAGAAGGGGGTACTTAAACCCGTTAATCCCTCCAAACGACCTCAGACTCTAATAGGCTCAAAAGCTACCGACAGGCCGTCACATTATACGTAACTACTTTAAAGTAGTCGCTATGCGTCACACTCTTCCTCGAACGCCTCTGCAAGTTCGTCTGGGAGTCGGAGCTCCACTTTAAAGTTATTATTCTTTCCTTCCTTGTTGAGTTTCTTCTTGTACACATGGAAAGACGCCGCCAGGGACAGCGCCATTTTCCTGGCAGTCGCGTCGGAATCGCAAAGAACCGCGTGACACTCCGTGGTTTTGGCGCGTGATGAGAGTTCGCTGACGACGATGAAAGTGAAGACTTTCCAAAACTTTATGTCCTGAACACCATATGATATAAAATCTATCGGAACCAGGCCGATGTTGCCGACCTCCTTCACCCTAGAGGCCGCGTGTTCCCTAATCTCGATTCCTTTAGAGGATACCACAACGTATGTCAAGGGAAGCTCCACTTTTTCATTTTCACTTAAATCTTTTTTTAGAGCACCGATCATTCTGTCGACAGGTTTCCTCACATGCTGAAGTCCAAATAATCCTTTAGTAGGCTTCTTGCCGAGATATTTAGCAACAAATACCTGCGGCAACTTCTCAATTTTGATTTCACTTAGTGGTGATTCCTCGGGTTTTTTGCGACTCTTTTTATCTGATTTTGTCAAACGTCTTAATTTCGAAAACACTGACCCTGTAGATTTAATGTTCTTTGAATCTTTTGAATCTACAGACGGCTTCTTATTTGGTGTTGTTTTTGACTTCGAACGAGACACTTCCTGTTTTGTTGTTTTGGCTACCTGTGCTCCTTGTTCAGATTTGGCATCTTTGCTGGTATCACTGGCAGACGATTCGGCGCCGATTGATTCGTTTGTGTCATCGTTCCTGCTATCTTCGTCGTTCTCTTCGTCAGGTATGTCTAAATTCGCCGAAATCTCTAAATCGTCAAGTCGTCCCAACACATCTTCGTAAAATTCTGAATTCAGAGTTTCACCAACTGCGCTATTGTCTTCTATGATGCCTGCCATAGCTTCCGAAGCAGACGACACGGAGCTACTGTCCTCCGCGCCCGACATTTTATTAACTCACAGAAACGTCACAGGCCAGGAATGTTCTCATAACAGTGTAGTCACCCACACATCGATCAGCACGTAATTCGTACTTCTATTGGTCACTCAATGACGTTGTATAGTCAGTAACCCACTAGTTAGTCGATGGCCACACGAGTAACAATTATAAAAGGTAATGGCCGACGTTACCTGTATCAAGAGATCAGAATTCCAGCCGTGTCCCGCCGAGAAAGCCGGTCCAGGTAAACACCGATTACAGGTGTGGCCTTACCTGTGTGTTGTACTACGTGTATAACCGCCCCAGGTAAATGTGGCTCAGGCATGTCAAAAGGAACAGCTCAATAACAATAGTACGTATCGAAAGGCGCGCGCACACACGGCTGACACACTTACTGAGCAAAAAAGACAGTGGACACGCCTGAGAGCGCGCTAGGGTAAACTAGGACAACCCGATCGCACTTTTTACCACCATAACACCTATAAAATCGTCGACTTCACATGTACATAGCCCGTAATTATATGTTTATAATCTGTTAATACCAGGTACCTCGTATAATCCCTTCACCCTACATATAATTCAATAACGCGTGCAAACGTAACCAGAGAGCGAATACATGTCTCTAATAATGTTTTGTAAAATAATTACCATATATTGTACATAAGACCACGGTATTAGATTAGATTATCTGAGTCCGTGATTAGACTAATGTACACTATATGGTAATTATTTTACAAAACATTTCTTTTACCTGTAAAAGATACCACTGTAGCTAGTATAACTGCTAAGGGGAGTTTTATTTCAGATAGTTGTCCTAACTTTATGAAGTGATTCAACATAAACAAGTTTCACTGGTTAAGAGTCGCCAACCGCTTAGAACAAAATGTCAGGTATCGACCTGCTAAAACAAAGATGAAGGGGGCAAATCAGGGGCCATGTGTGAGGATATTTTTGCTGCATTTTAATATCTTTCAACAAAAGATTTTATTTTTAAATTTTTCATACACGAAGAACACACAAGATTATCTTTTATTGTTTTCATTTTTTTCAGATTTGAACAAATAAATCGCTTAATGCTGGCTGTTTCAGGTTTTGTCATGATTTCTTTTCAGCGAATAGGAAATATAAAAACATAAAAGAAAATATTCTAGAGATGTTTTCCTCGATATTTACTTGTAATATGACCAACAGGGACCGCTTACTACTACAATACAAAGCCGTACTTAGTCTCGTTTAACAAGAGTCTGGTTGAACGAGACTAAGCCGTACGATGAGCGGGGCGTTTTAAGATTTCCGATCGTTAACTTTCCCTTTCTTGATAATGAATATCCCGCTTCCCCAACCATCGTTGTTTCAAGAGATTGCTCTGAATATCAAGATTTCTATTATTGATGTCGACTACAGACGGACAAACTTGCGATTATGATCTCAGTGGGAAAGTCGTTTTTCTTTGTGTGATATGAAGCTCGATATTTTTTATTGTGCTTATATGTGTGACTTGTTGTTTCGTTGTCACTGCCACGGTTCTCGACATTGATGTTTACATGACATTATTTTTATTAAGCTTATGTATGCACGGCGGGTGTCGTTATTATAGCAGAACAAGCTTACCCTGAAGGACCATTTGGTCTGATTCTCCATGCACGTTTCTGTGATCTCCATCTTTCCTATATATGATCATATATTGCCCTAGTTTTATTGATTTGGTGCTAAAATTATAGTTTTTTTCTCACATCGTAAGTTATATGTGTAATAACAATCAAATTTAGTCTCTCCATTTGTTCTCCGTTAGAACGCAAATTTTTCAGAAAATAATTCGGAATTTATTTATGCTGCACAAAACTTTAAAACCAATGTTGCATACAACTTTTAAAAACATGTGTATTGTTATGTACTGTTAAAGTTCAGTGCAAGAAGAGAAACTGTATTGATTTTGACTATAATAAACAGTGATATTTTCTTTTCTTTTCTTTTTCTTTTTTTTTGTAATTGTCATTTACATATAGGATCTTACATGAGTTTCAATTTCATATGAGATATATGAAACGAGTCTTAAGAATTTTTAAATTTAGCGAGCCTCTGGCGAGCTGAAATGAAAAACATCGTGACGAGTTTCATCAATTTCATATGAAATGAAAACGAGTATAAAATCCTTTTTATCACAAAGTCAAGATTTGTGGCATTTATTCGTGTAAAACGGCGATTTTCATGCAGCCTTGGAATGTAAAAAGGGGTTATAGACACACCTAACGTTATATGGGAGTTATAGCCACATTTAACGTTATGTGGGGAGTTATACCAACACTTAACGTTATAAGGGGAGTTATAGCCACATTTAACGTTATGTGGGGAGTTGTACCCACACTTAACGTTATAAGGGGATTTATAGTCACATTTAACGTTATAAGGGGGTTTATAGCCATACTTAACATTATATGGGGATTTATAGCCAAATTTAACGTTATGTGGGGAGTTATACCCACACTTAACGTTATAAGGGGAGTTATAGCCACATTTAACGTTTTAAGGGGGTTAATAGCCATACTTATTATACCTCTACTTATTTTACACTATACAAAAGTAACCACATAAACAAGCTATTTCCCCTCTAACTGCATGCCAGGGAAATAGTTCGTCTGGAGGGATGCGATAGTGCGGGAAATTGAGTGACGTCGTGGGCGGGGCCTGACCGAATATTGACTAATCAGCGCAATCGAATTACGTCGGCAATTTCCGGCCAGCGGAGCCGGTACTTTCTGGACCGACCTTCACCTCGCATTGTTGTTGACAGACGACAACAGAAATGGCGACCCCCAGGTTTTCTGTGTTGGACGAGAGCGAGTTGTCGGACATATTGGAGGCAAAAGACAGTTGGAACACAAAAAACAGTACAGGCATCCGTTACATTGCTCTCTAACTACCTCACTGAAAAGGGTTTGGATATCGCGGACATTGAAATTCTCAAGATTTGTTTTTGTTTTGCTAATAAATTGTCCCAACTGTTGAAAATTTGTGGTCTAATAGTATTTAGAATATTGTGAGGGAGTGTTTGTATCGGTAAAATAAAACAGTTGAAGTATGAGTATGAGGGATATAGCAAGTTTATGATCCCCCGAGGCCAGGACTATTTCCCGAGGCGAAATATCCCTCATACCCATACTTTAACTGTTAATTAACGTTATATGGGGATTTATAGCCACACTTAACGTTATAAGGGGAGTTATAGCCACACTAAACGTTATATAGGGGTTTATAGCCATACTTAACGTTATGTGGGGAGTTATAGCCACACCTAACGTTATGTGGGGAGTTATAGCCACACCTAACGTTATGTGGGGAGTTATAGCCACATTTAACGTTATATGGGAAGTTATTGCCACACCTAACGTTATAAGGGGAGTTATAGCCACATTTAACGTTATATGGGAAGTTATTGCCACACCGAACGTTATAAGGGGAGTTATAGCCACATTTATCGCTATAAGGGGAGTTATAGCAACACTTAACGTTATATGAGAAGTTATTGCCACACTTAACGTTTTTTTGGGAGTTATAGCCACATTTAACGTTATAAGGGGAGTTATAGCCACATTTAACGTTTTTTGGGGAGTTATAGCCACATTTAACGTTATAATGGGGTTTATAGCCATACTTAACGTTATATGGGAGTTATACCCACACTAAACGTTATATGGGAAGTTATAGCCACATTTAACGTTTTTTGAGGAGTTATAGCCACATTTAACGTTTTTTGGGGAGTTATAGCCACATTTAACGTTATAAGGAGTACGGAATTTAAGCATCGAAACACAATTAACAGTGTGTCACGCGTAAGATAAGCTTGATCTGGAAACACTATTGTATTACCTACTTGCTAAAAGCACTAGGCTTGCTCGATATCCACAGAAACAATACCTATACATTTTCCATAGCCGAAATACTAGTTGATCAGGCTCCTATATTCTTTCCGAATATAGGTACGGACCTGCATCGTTTGTAATGGATTCCAAAATTCACACTTTTAACCAATGTTTTATTGCCGCCTCATCTAGTTGCTCAACCAAACCATTATCCATTATATCCCATTAAATCAGGGTTACAGACACATTGTGACACTGTATACTTGTGAAGTGGAATAGATTGAATAGGAAATGTGAAGGATTCAAAAGATCTTTTGATCAATCTCGAACATTGTCTCCTCAACGATGCTTCTTCTATCACAACTTTTCACTCGACGCTTTACACTACCATCCCCCCTACCAAACTGAAGTTACGCCTTCGGTCTCTTGTTATAAGAGCTTTCTTTTCCAAGAGAGGCGAATGGCGACATAAGTATATGGTTGTAAAATATTTTTGAGCATATTTTGTGAAAAGCAAAACAAAGGCAAAAATGATATACACGGAGGTTGAAAATGTGAGAATGATTGAGTTCCTGGTTGACAATATTTTTGTTGAGTTCTATAAACCTAGTTTAGCTCTTTAATCTTACAATCAGATATATAGACGATGTGCTGCTCTAAATCACAAGAGCTTTATTCACGACATCGATCGTACATCCCCTCCTGAGCTTGAAATCGATGAAACTTCATTCTCTCCTACATCAGCCGTTTTCATCGATCATTGATTAAAACATGACGAACACCGACAGCTTACCACGAAACTGTACGATAAGCGGGACGATTCCGACTTTTCGATCGTGAACCTTACCTTTCTTGATAGTAACATATATACTTTCCCTATCTATGGTGTTTACATGACGCAGTTGTTCGGCTTCCTGTGAATATGATGAATTCCGTGGTAGATGTCGACTGCTGACGGACACTCTTACAACACAGGGTTTTCAGGGCTGCAGGTTAATGAAGGACGTTGACAAGTTTAATGGTCTCCTTAAGAAACTAACTATTTCTATATGTAACATGGGGGTCGATGTTTCTGATTATGCTCATTAATATGCTTTATTTTGTCGTCGTAGGTTGGAAGAGCGAGGCTATTACTTTAAAGAAAGGGAAAGTAAAGTCGGAAAATCGAAATCGTTATCGAAAAAAATCTTAGCAAGCTGTCACTATCGGTCATGTGGTAAGTAAAGATCAATGTCATTTAGATCGCACCTGGTACAAATCCTTTCCCTCCCATTAATATTGTCGTATCGACCACATTATACATCAGGATTAAGACAACCATAGACATCAAACCTGTCTCAAAAGCCACGCGTTATATATATATATATATATTTTACAGGTATGAAGGTCGTAATATTTATTAATTACTCTATTTTCATATTTTATAAATTTCCTTTGTACATTTATGTAATATTTCTGTAGCAAATGTGATTAAAATATCAAATATTCTTGTCTTTATAATTGGAAATCCAAAACATACCAGGTATGCTAGTCCCAACCGACACTATTCATAATTTATGCCGACTACCCTCTGATCGACAATTTTGCCAGTGCCAGTATTTATGAGCAAGGAAATGGACCCGCCTCGTTTGTACTGGATAAACAACACTATATCAAGTAGAAGAGCATGTAGTGTCCCTGATTTCACCATCACTGTCTATGTTTATTGATGATAATACTAGTTTTACTGTCATAACATGTTAAATTTCCAACCAACCTGAAAGAGAATTTTGGGCCATCGTTCATGGTCAATTTTACCACGTTTTATGTAGACCTCAAGAATATTGAAATGTGTTTTTAAAGATAGAATGTTGGCCATCCTGAAGTACAGACAAACCTGAAAAGTAACAAGACTTTGTCTTCATCCCAGGATCATGTATCTGGCACGTTTGACACAAGTCCTACTAGTTGTCCCATCCCTCTATCATTATCCCACGATCATGTATCCAGCACGTTTGACATAAGTCCTACTAGTTGTCCCATCCCTCTATCATTATACCTATGTTGTAATTGTGTTGGTAAATTCAATAAAATGTTTTTTAAACTAAAAATGTTTTAAATCACAGATTGCAAAAGAAGTAATCCATTCAGTAATCCAGCTTTTATTGACATTCTGCACTGATCTTCACCACCACGTTTCCATGGTTGACTGGTTACACCCACTGGAATGTTAACACTCTGTAACAGGCCACTACAGTAATGTATAATGTCCCTATTTTAAGGATCCCTATATTCTATTGTATTTTTATGTAAATACAGTAGCCTGGTCTCCATTCTGTTTTGATATTACTGTAACACAACTTGTCAGTGTACAACCTTTGACTAGCTAGGTAGCCGAATTGGTTGGAGCAACATTAGTATGATTGGGGTCCAGAGTTCAAATCTTGTTTTGGACCAATCTTTCATTTTTACACTCAGAACAATTTTGCCAATCTTTTGCATCAGTATTATTTTCCCATGAAAGTTCCAAAATGTATGATTTTCTTTTCAGAAATGATTTGTCAAAGCTATAGTCATGGGGAAGTGTTTTCAAGCCTTCTAGTAGTAACATGCATGGGTATCCAAGAGTCATGTTACAAGTCATACTAACCTACATTTTAAAGAATGATATATATTGTACATTGTTTTGTCCTTTCATTTTTTTCATGTTTTCACTTGGATATTTATTCTATTGCACAGCTGAGTTCCATCCAGTAAACAACCGTACTCACCATATTTTTTCTTGTTTTATGAGCTTCTTTTTCCTCCAGACTCGAAGACATGTGTTACATGACTTGTTGATAAAAAGCCTTTTGACATTGCTGTAAGATTATAAATCTATCATTATAATATCACCATCTGCAGTAACCAACAAATAACAAATCTCTGTGTTTACGAAATTTTTCTTCTTTGAGATTTTATTTTAATTGTCACTGTTGAAACTGTACAAGAGTTGAGATTTACAATTGTTTTAATTTAAATATCTACAGTATCTATACAGAGAATACAGCATATACCTCATTCATACATGACAAGCACATTATTACCCTTACCTCGTTCATACTAGACATGAACACTTACACAACTCAATCAGCCAAGCACACATTCATCCCAGACACAAGATTCACGGCCTTTGGGTTTTTTATTCTTGAAGAATTAAATTATTAGCTCAAATGTAAACAATTCCAAGAAACATATCTTTGCCCCCAATCGTATAACCACATATTAAAAGCCCCACCCCCTGGATTAGACAGGTATAAAGCATAGACTAATCCAGTCTAATTAAAACCTTATCCTGATATACGCTCCATTCTGTAAACTACACTCTGCTATGTCGAAGAGCGTAGATTACGGAACAGAGCGTAGATCAAGATATCGTTTTAACCAGACTGTGACTACACAGACATAATATTGGTAGTGGGACAGGTTTCACTTAAACAGCCCTACAATGTTTGGTCCCCACCAAACTCCCTAAAGTAAGTCTAGATTTGAATGATCTACCCGATGACCCTTGTTCTTGGCCCCTCCTGATGCACAAACACCGGACATACGTGATTAGTTAACACATTACACCCTCTTGTAGGTTTTACCTGTGAGCAATACTCCAGAATACAACCTTTTTTATTCAGGGATTAAAATATTCTCTGAAAAGTGATTTATCCAACATTACAAGAACAATAGGGATTTATATTTATTAGAACAAAACAAAATTTGGATTTCATATTTGTAAATCATTACTGCAGTATTTTTTATCTATGGTACATGCAACTGGACCGTTTGTGTCTAGTCTGGTTTGTATTACTGATATTATACATATCCTGCGATAAAATGTACATTATTTTTCTCCTTGTGTAAATGATCATTTCTCTTGTGATACAGTACATCAAGTAATAGGCTCCATCCGTGTAACATAATAAATAATTATTTATCCCCAAATGTTTTATACATGTTAAGATAAATAACGATCTCTCCCCCAATCTTCTATACATGAGTAATTATGACCTTTTTGTGTACAAATAATAAATAGTGTAATGCTTCTTCCATGTGTGTACTTATACAGTACACTTACCTTAACATTATAAATATAAAACATTAACAACTCGGCCCTTGGTGTAATACATCTGTCATCAACCTCTTTGTCAACAACCATGGATAAAAAATAGTCAACAAATACTCTGCTGAATTAATTGCAAAATAATAGGCCTGAATGCATATTTTTTTTTAAATACAAAAAAAATCTCTTTTAAGTCATTGACAGATGACCATGAATATTAACCAAAGGAATATGAATCCAGTACAAAATGATGTTGATCTAGGGTTACATGTTCCTGTATTATAGTGAAGGTTAGATTCCAGCGTACACTGTGTTATCAAATATCAGAATCATTTTCCTTTTATATCTAGGAAACCCAAATATAACACTCCCATACCAGCTCTGTTATTAAATATTCCCTTTCTATATATTGCACATAAAATGTTAGATATCCACATTTTCAATGGATAAGAAAATACTGTGAGTGTCCTGGGTACTCAATCTTGATTATAAGTACATGTTATTAGATCTGAAAAACCTAATTAAGGTGGTATCCTACCTGTACCTAAATGTGGCATACATCTCCTTTTCAAACAAATTCCACACTACTTAACTCTGTTAATGATCTGATCTGGGTCATTGATGAAACATTGGAAAGATTCACAAATTTAAGCCTCGACATAATTCTGTGTTATAAGACAACGAAAATTGAAAAATTCTCAAGTCAAACAATACAACTTACAGGTAGAATGTGCAAGGTATCACGGACACTTAACAAGCAGTCACTAACATTAACAAGAAGTAGTGGGCTCATCTTTAAATGTTTAAGGAGAAAACTAGTTAAGTGTCAACACTGAAATAAGTCAAAACTAATCAGAAAATTGCTAATTAAAATAAACCTTGATTAATCTGAAAATAGCAAATTAACACTGAAATAGTTAATAACCAGCCAGAAAATAGCTGTTACAGTAATATATTAAGTATATATAAAACAAATGTTTATATAAAACAAATGTTCTGACATCTACATGTGTATATTGCATAAATGTGTATTTTCAGATGTTTGCATGATTTGTGTGAGACTTGTAAATTAAGCAGCAGGTAATGGAGTAGTTTATTTAGACAGACCCGGTGTTTCCTTGATACAGAGTATGTGGTGTCAGGGTTATGTCCCCCTTGTATATTTCTATAGCACCACCTGTCACCATTACAAGTAGCTATCACATGGCCACTTCGTACAACGAGTTTTAAATCATTCCGCATCCCCTATACCAAACAGTGTTTCCTTTCATGTACATACAGACACATGGAAACATATCTTTGAAACACAGTGTAACCAGGAGACACAATTGTGGGGATATCAAATTTTGAACAACATCCAAAATCATGATTTACACAATTATCAAAAAAAATCTTTACACAACCATTATTCAACAACCAGCTGTAGTTTTAATCTCTATGGCCTCTATAAAAGAAATTATAAATATTTACCACGTCTGACATCTTTGTAATACTTTATATCGTACCACGAGAAATCTAAATGTCATATAAAGAAATTTCCATATAAATCTGATTTGAATTCATACCGATTATAAAACATTTGATAGAAATTATCATACTGGCATTTTCAACAATATTTGTTCTTTGTATTCAAAATCTTTGTTAAAGTATTGAACACTAATACTGAAACACAAATGTTCCAAACAAGCACCTGCATTTACCTACCAATACAGCAATCAACTTAATGAGCACACTTTTCTCTTTTAAAAAACACCCCCACCCCTATTTTTCTTATAAAAGATGAAGGGCACCCGAACAGTGCCCTCCTCATTGGTCTGTAAGAAATGTTCTTGTTACCAGAGATTCTAAACCAGTGACATAACATCGTCGGACAAGGAGTATCATTTCTCTGCTGATGCACTTGATCATCAGATGGCTGGAGTGAGCAAAAAGAAAACAACCTCAAGTTTCCTAAGATGGCAAAACGAAGGAAATACTTAATGTCACGCCCCCGGTAATGGAAGAATGCATACGATTGTATGCATTTACGTCCACCCTATAAATGTTTTTTTGAGCAGTGTGCTCACTATGCTGAATATGGTACTTGAAAGACAAGCCAGGAGTACTCCTGATTCCTGTCATGTGATGCTACATCTTAACACAACCATTGTAGCAAGGTAGCAAGGTAGCAATCCTTCTGTCACAACTGAACACTTGTAAAGTATCTATATAAACCATACACAGAGCACATTGGGGTGGTGGTGATTTAAAATGACATGATGATAAATCTATAACAGTCGTCCAATGGCCGAGAGGTCCAGATAGAGGACATTTAACCTGTTTATAAAAATCTATAACAAACAAAACAGGTATTCTGACCAATGGCTTCTCTAAACATGCTTTATGTTATGTGATATTTGTCAACCTTTAGTAAATATAGAATCAAACTTTGATGTTTTCCATAACTATATATTATAAATGTTTAAAAAAAAAGCTAAACCATGTAATTACGTGTTATGATAAAAAACTGATTTCCTAAATGTATATTTTATATAAATTAGTTTTCCTACAATAAGATAAGGGTTATGTTTAAATTCTTTGGCCAACCATATATGTTTTTTTATTCTAGTTAATGTTTTTCTATGGTAACACAATACACCAATAGATGGTTTGCATCCTATCCCAATCAAGAAAGGATAAACAATGTTCATTACTCAAGGAATATTAAGATCATGACATTTGTTTCAAACAAGCAACAACACCTACACTTAAAAGTCTCAGGCAGTGAAATACTTATTGCAGTTAAAATGGGACACTGTTTAAACCTGCCACCCTCGTAACTCCACAGGGACCGCCCTCAATGGTTCCTTATGTGGTGACAGGACAAGGCCTTTCCATCTCGACGTTTTTATGAAGGCAAGCATGGTATCATTACGGGAACAAATCACAGTCTAACTCTTATACAAAATCTACAAGTGTATTTTGTATTTCTCAATTTTCACAAGAGTTTTGACATTTGAACACCTATTATTTTTAATGCTTAAAATATTGCAGTAGAATACTATAAACAAATTGATTTTGAATGCAAAGTGAAGCCAACATCATTGTTCACGTAGTAGAGAGACGAGTAGACATCCAAGTTTGACCATGTGATAGTAACAAATTTAAGGCTGTATAAGTTTGTACCCTAGACACTTTTTAAAGAATATCTGATGTGTTCCGTCACTAGCTTCCTATGAAAACACATTTGAATTATTTGAAATTAAAAAGAAAATTAAATAAAAGTTTAGAATAATTATACATTAGAACCCGATCCTTTCACTTCCATACAACCATGTATAGTGAACTACGATGTGTTATGAATTGGACTGACATAATTGCAGTTAAAAAAGTAATGTATAAATCTGAGAATCATTGTACAATGGAATCTCACTAACCCATGCGTATATCACAAAATAAATAGCATGCTCACCAAATCCTGCAGGTGTTATTTTCTCGTTCGGCAGGTGTGTCAATTTTGTTACATATTCTTGGTAAGAAGGTAGCCATTAGACCTTCAGAGTGTTAAATCTACATCATAAATTTCAAATTTACACAAAGTTTTGAAAACAGTCCTACAGATGTCTCTTCTACATCAGGTTAACCGAGAACTTTGTTTGGTAATTGTGAGGTCACATGATCACATACATCAACTGATGTAAGATCATATGACATAACTATCACTTGACCTGTAGGTGAATTATGTAGCACTTTTCAATGTAAGCACATACTGTGTTAAATACCTTGTATGTTTTCTACAGTTTTGTTGACTTATCAAGATGCTACCACTGACGAGACTGTGTTACAGTTCGGACAGTTTCCCAAAAACTGTTGACTAGAGCTTCAATCGAAATCTGACACCTCTGATTGGTTTAGGAGTAGTATCCCATACTGCATCTCAAAATGTGTATGTAAGATGAAGCCTTTCCTCGCATGCAGAGGTTACAATACTCTTTGTTATGCGAGTACTTGAGGATCTCGTCGGAGGACAAACACAGGCTGGGACACCCATTTGTTAAACTCTTGCACTACTTTAGGTGAGAGACAGACAAGTTTGCTGGGCATTGAGATACGAAACCATCACTGCAGTGAGATATGTCTTTAGCCTCCAGGAAATGTTTGGAGACAATTTGTTATGTCATAAAGTATTGTGTAATCTCATATAACACTTGCTGGCAATTTTTCGAAAACGTCATTTTTGCCAGGCTGTGCACTGCCACGTCTCCTTGGTAAAGTAGGGTGTTCTGGACAGCCATTGTTCATTAGAAGCTCTACACAGTCCATTGATCCCGAGCTCTTCGCATACCAAAGAGCATTCCTCCCTTCATGGTCTACCACTTTTACATTAGCACTATACTGTAATACAAAGGAACAGAAATGAGTTGGGAACAAATTTACAACATATAGTATAGAAATGATGGCCACAAGCCGACACCTATGTCACACAGGTTACATTGTCTGCCATAAAGTTACAGAAACTTAAGAAGGTCATGTTATTAGCTACAAAAAAACTTCCTGAGTTCAAATTTATTTGCCAATAGCTGACAAAGTTGCCCATGGGTTAAACGATAGGTTATAGAGTGTACTCTCTCTTAACCCGCACACCCATGGGACCAAATCAATTAAATATTAATATATTGATAAATAATACATAGTAATACTATTCTGGTTTTCAAGTTGTTGTAGATTGTAAAGAGTCTACTTGTACTTGTTGTACATTATCATTGTTGGAACCAAATTCTTCGGCAAGTTCAGGCAAAAATCTGGACTGCAGTCTGTTTTAGACAAAGTGCACTGTAATCTGACCAAGATATTATTGAGGTCCCGTTAACAAGATGTTACTGGGGTCATTTTATCAGGTAACAGCTGACCAAGACATACAGTGGTTCTGCTAGATATAATCCAATAAAGTCACTGAGGGTATGTTAGGTATAACCCGACAAAGATGCCATTTAAATCAATTTGTCAGATATAAACGGAAAGCTGTTGTGTTTCCCAACTAGACACAAAATAAAAAGTTGTATTTACCCAAAGAAGCAGCTGGACATAGACAACATTGCCGAGAGCAGCTGCAATGTGTAGGGCAGTGCGTCCGTCATCCTTACTGTAGGGGGCATTGATGTCTTCCGCTATGCTGTGACCCAGCACCAGTACAATGTTCCTGATGTCCTCCCGTACCAGTGCATCAATCAGTTGCTGCAGGACGAAAGAGATCTCAAATATCACATACAACTGTGTATTATACAATGAAACAAAATGCAGCTTCTACCATGAATGTTTAAAAGAATAGTGGCAAGTTCCCAAAGGTCTCTTTTCTTATATTTATTTCAAGTACATATATCTAATAATGTCAATAGTCCTTTGGGGGTTAACATGATATTTTCCTTCAGTCATATGTCAACAGCATTGTTGGTTCCCATTTTTGTTCTGCTGAATGAAATCATTGGTTGGTTTGCTGCCGTTGTAAGAGATATTTGTTCATGAAACATGATTTTATTAATTCTAGTTTAAGTGGATTATTGCTCAAACTCAATCTGAATGGGCTTCACCAGTCATATTTTGCAGAAAACTCCACAACAACCACCTTCTGGTTGGACAATGATGATATATCTTACTGTTTTAATGTAGTAACAGTGATTTACACACGTCGTTTATATCTGTTACACCTGTAAGCTTACCTGGTTGAGAGAGATATCAAGGTAGGGAGCCGGAGGCAGGTATTCTTTTGTATCATATTTGGCCCGAATCCATCGCTCTTTTTCTTCTCTGAAAGGCAATCACACACGGAAATTGTCAGCCTTTTCATTAACAAATGTTAAGTGGAACAAACCAATGTTAAGCATCATCAATGTCTGCAGAATGTGTTACTGTTGTGGGAGGGAAATGGCTTTGGGCTGGTTTGGGTTCTGGAACCTACCAGGATGAAGAGTGGGCTAATTACATTCTGAAGGCCTTCCTAGATGAATAGAGACTGGTTTAAGTTTTGGAAATTTATCTGGATGAAGTGAAAGTGAGAAACTTAACTGGATGACAAAGAGTTGATTTAGTTCTGGGGACCTACCTGGATGGGAAGGGAGTAGGTTTAATTCTGTACTACTGACAAAGACCTACCTGGATGGGAAGGAAGTAGGTTTAATTCTGTACCACTGACAAAGACCTATCTGGACGGGAAGGGAGTAGGTTTAATTCTGTACTACTGACAAAGACCTACCTGGATGGGAAGGGAGTAGGTTTAATTCTGTACTACTGACAAAGACCTA